AACAAGAGCGAAACTCCATCTCAAAAAAAAAAAAAAAAAAAAAATCTGTTGTATGAATGAATGGACGAATGATATAGATCTTCCTTTCAATATTCCTTTTCTTCCCTCCACCTCTTCACCAGCTCCAAGGAGGCATGCCCAGGCTGATGGCAAGGCCAGATCATAGAGGTTAGAGCAGAGTGACTTTTTCTCTTATAAAGCTTCATCCATTCATTCACTAATCTCTACCAAGTACCTTCTTGGTTTTATGAAGAAAACTAATATGTATTTAGCAGCTACTATATACTAGGTGCTTTCATATATAATACCTGTATAGTTGCACTGAGTCTTCCAAACAGCTCTAAAAGAGTTTTCTCTCCATTTTATTGATCAAGTTTCAGTGTGGTTAAACAGTTTGTCAAATGGGAAATGGCAGAACTGGGATTCACACCTGGGCAAGAATGTCGACACACCCCAAGCCCACATTACCCTTACTGCGTTACAATCCCACCCCTCCATGCTTTTGCTGATGCAACGCCTATGTAAGCAATACCCTCCCAGATATTTCCAACTTGCTAAATCTTTTCTGTCTGGTAAGACCCAGCTCCAGTGTTGTTTTCTCAAATAGGTTTTCTGTGGTTCTCCCAGAAGAAAGTTTCCTCTCCCTCCTCTGGGTAACCGAGGTACTATACATTATACTATAGCCTTTCTCGTGGCTCAGAGCACACTCTACTTCAGGAGACAGTAATGCACACATGTCTGCCATTTCCTACTGCATTGGGATCCTTGAGCACCAGGATCAGGACCAGGTCCAGGTCCTTAGCCTCAGTCTCCTACTCTATTAAAAGGAAATAATAATCCCTGTCTCGGCCGGGCGTGGTAGCTCACTCCTGTAATCTCAGCACTTTGGGAGGCCAAGGCCAGTGGATCACAAGGTCAGGAGTTCGAGACCAGCCTGACCAACATGGAGAAGCCCCGTCTCTACTAAAAATACAAAATTAGGCGGGCGTGGTGGCGCATGCTTGTAATCCCAGCTACTCGGGAGGCTGAGGCAGGAAAATCGCTTGAACCCGGGAGGTGGAGGTTGCAGTGAGCCGAGATCACCCCATTGCACTCCAGCCTAGGCAACAAAAGCAAAACTCTGTCTCAAAAAAACCAAATAACAAATAATCCCTGTCTCACAGATCTGGTGTGAGGCATATACAGCAGAGGCACACAGTCGGAGCTCATTACCTGTGAGTTAAGCTTTACTTGATAACAGTAGATCAAGTTCCAAATAGTGAGAACTTTTTTTCTTATTTTTTCTATATACCCATATATATTTTTTTTCCACAAGAAGGGAAGAGCACAAAACACCCATATTTTTAACTTGCTTGTTTTAACAATGTAATTTCTGGCTGGGTGCAGCGGCTCACGCCTGTAATCGCAGCCACTTGGGAGGCCAAGGCGGGTAGGTCACCTGAGGTCAGGAGTTCGAGACCAGCCTGGCCAATATGGAGAAACCCCATCTCTACTAAAAATACAAAATTAGCTGGGCATGGTGGGACATGCCTGTAATCCCAGCTACTTGGGAGGCTGAGGCAGGAGAACTGCTTGAACCCAGAAGGCAGAGGTTGCAGTGAGCCAGGATCGTCCCATTGCAGTCCAGCCTGAGTGACAAAAGCAAAACTCCGTCTCAAAAAAAAAAAAAAAAAAAATGTAATTTTCTGTCTTGCCAGTTCTTTCTTATTATTGTCACAGTCCTAACTCAGATGGTAGCTATTTGCTGTTATTAAATGCCTGTCACACAACTTCTTTCAGTTTGCAATCTAGGTAAAAAGTAGGAGTAGCCAGGACATGGGGATGGGAAAGAAGGGCCCTTTTCAGAGATCCTGACCTGTTTGGAGAAGGAGTCCTCAAGCTCTGTGATGTCATTAGAAAACTCTCCAGATGTGGTGACGGAGCTTCCACCACCATCAATGCCCCCACCACAGGAGCCTCCATACGGGAGCCCCCGTTCAAGCCGGTGGCTCCGGGCACCAGCCATGGCACCCTCGTCCAGCGAGGCAGGCTTGCCCTCGAAGTACGCGGGGTTCTGTGCCTTCTCATACTCCTCAAAGGAGAACTGCATCCGCATGTTGGAAAGGATGATGCGGCGGGACATGCGGCTTTCGGAGGCTGAGCTGCGTAGCCGCTCAAAGTTCTTGTTCATGCGGTACTGGCGGAAGGCTGTCTGGATGGTCCTGGCAGCCCTGCGGCTCAGGAAGGAGCCCCCATACTTCCTCTCCAGCATTTCCACCTGGCAGAGAAGGGTCGAGGGGAACAAGGTCAGAAAGTCATGGCACTCTTATCTCCCTAGGCCCTCAACCACACCTCCCCCACTGGAGTCCGGGCTGACTGCTTACAGCCACCGGAAGTGCCAGGCTAGGCGCTCAGTGTTGTCTCCTCGCTGGAGTTTCAAGTAACACTGATCAAGTGGGATTGGATTGTGTTTTGTTTTCTTATTTACACGAAGAACATATTGATTATTCGAAAACAGGAAACAGA